AAGGTCTATTTAATTCACAAACTTTGACACGGGCTGCTTATCAAGGACGTATGGCAAGTAATCATTATTCTCGCCGTTCCGTCTGGTACAGAGTCGTAGGACCACAGACTTACAAATGTTCAAATTTAAGAGTCAACGACCAGAACAATTACTGAGTCGGTCGGGACGCTATTGAAAAGCCTGCCTGTCTGCGTCCGATAGGATGTCTCTCCACACTCCAATATCGTCAGCAAACATGACGGCACTGTAATACAAGTCATCGACATAGTCGTTCATATAGACTAGAAATAGCAACGGCTTTAAAATCGTGGGACGTTACTTAGAGCCTATGCATGGGCTGACTTCGGGGCATCAGCGCACATGGTTTGTGATCCCCGTACAAGAAAATCTGCGATCCAGACCAGTCGTTTACCAATGATTCTAATTACAGATAGTTTTTGATTAGTCGTTTGCTTGGGACACTGTCGAACGCTTTCCTGAAGTCAGAGGAAATGACCTCAACCCTAGCATCATCGCCCACTGCGCGGATCCAATACACAGGGGAGAACGATAAACTGGAAAGCAACCGTGCTGGGGCCCGATGTGTGACTGATTCTCCTCCACAAACATCATTGTCCCTTTATAATTGTGATTTACATTATTTTACAGCAACCGCATGTCAGGCTAACGGAGTGATAATTATTAGACTTAAATTGAGCCCCACCCTTGTATATAGCGCAGATATTTGCTTTCGTCCATTCGGATGGTAGTCTTCCTAATTTGACTGCCAATTAAAGAGATGCGCTAGTGGTTCGGAGAGTTTGTTTGCCAATTATCTCAAAAATTTGCCCGCCAAATCGTTCGGACCAGAGAACTCCGCTTCTTTGAGCTTCTTTAGCTCTAAACCAACAACAGATATTTCGAAGATTGTAGATTCAAGCATCAGCATGGCGGTTACAACAGCACCGATGATATCTTGATTCTGAAACTCGGTTTCCCTAACGAATATTGAGGGAAAGATCTGGTCCATTTGTTTGGCTTTCTGACCATTCTCAACGATTTATACACTATCGTCACCCTTAACTACTGAGACCAGGTCCTCAATTCCTAGTCGACTGATGGTTTAATGGCATGCCATCTTAAGCTTATGCTCAGCCTGGCTGATAACTATCGATTTGCACTCTTTCCTTACCTGATGGATCCATTTTTTATCACATTCGGTTCATTCTGGTGACTCAGTTCCACAGAATATCATCAATTGTTTTTATTTTCTCCCTTAATTGTACGTTAAAATCTCTTGGTAACCAGGTAGAGCAACTTATCTCTTTTTGTACCTTCAGTGGACAACAGCACCAAATCGGGTCTAGTAAAATCACCCCAAACAATCCCCAGTCGTCCTCTAGATCTCTTTTGAGCAAGCTGTCCCAATTTAAGGACAGCACTTTGCCCTACGCCTCGTTGAGATCTGCCTTCCACGTATTTCACTGGCCTCCTCTTCTCTGCTGGTGCTGTGAATAAAGCGAGTAATACCACTTCGGGTTAGTAAATTCACACTTGCCGAAAGGTACACTGGAATACGCTTCGACAAGGCCAGAGAATTCTTTCGTAAAGACTACGTACAAACAATTGACTGTCTGGTCCTATCCAAATGTAGTTAGTATACTTACACTCTGCGATACAGGGAGGTCATGTGTGAAGTCCATTAGTTTACAGGTGAAGAAAGTGGACGCACCGTCCACTGTCAGGTTTTTCCAGTCCATTGTAGTTGGCGTGAAATCTCCAGGAATAAGAATTTCTTGGTGGTTACCTACTTCTTGAAAATAATATCAGCGTAGCTACTAAATACGCCTTTTTGCATCAGTCTCTTGAACTGCGCACACAGAACCAGTGTATGTTCTCGTGCTACAACTTACATGTTAGGAAGTCCTCGTCATACCGACTTTTTGGGAACGATGGACTCAGCGTGCTAAAGTCCTGCAAAGCATGTTCTTTGAAAATTTCTGTCGTGTCAATGTTTTCAGGCCGCACAGAGTCGGGGTTGTGGTCCATCGTGAAAGACGTTACTGTGATTCCTTCCTTCCTCCTGTATACGACACTGAAAACGAGTCGCATCCAACATGGCTAGTAACATGTATATTATATGCAGTCATTAATTAGCCTACTTCGTCGTCGGAGCCATAATGCACACATACTTCCGGTTGATATACACGAACTTCTCGGCATGAATAAATCCCAAAGGATGTTTGAGGGTACTTCTTGCCTTGTAGTAGTAGCCGGTTGCCTAAAATATGCTCATATTGGTCTTTTTTACTTGGCCAAACGCCTTAATTGCATCTCCCAGGTCTCTAAGTGATTGAGAAAAAACCGACCGAGCATAGTCTCGCGGAACTTCAAATCAGCGGCAGAAACAGAGGCCTTCGTACTGCTCGCGCAAGTGTTCTAAAGCTGCGCCGCACCACCTTATACGTTCCTCTCTCAACCAATCACTCTTCATCGCTCTGAAACCCATCCGCATGCGGCCTTTGTAATCACTCGCGTCTGGAAAGACGCCTTACCCAAAGGTAAATGACAAAGTCAACAAGTACAAAATAGCAAACTTACTAAGGGTAACCTACATACAAGTCCTGACAAGCGTCCTACTGTAAAAGGGTTGAGACACGAGAGTCTTGATTTGACGACACAAGGGCGGCGAGAGGTGGAAGCCGGAGACGGGACTTCCGGGTCGTTTTACGGTTAGTTCCCGACTACATTTATTGGGCTTCGCCAGCCGAGAAAGTCACAAAATTTGACTGCACCGTTGTGATTGGTTGGGAGATGATTTGGAAAGGATATCGAAAAAGATTAAATTTTATGTATTACAAATTGTTATACTTATATTTGTATAAGGAAAACAGATTACGCCAAATGAGTCATTCTGGTCTAACGCACCACTTTGCGTAGTCACGATTGGCCAATCCTGAAAAGTAGCCATAACTATATCTACATATTAATGATGACGAAAATCGCGCAGGCGCCCATAAAGGAGTTATGGGGGACAAGTTGGACATCCCGCTGCCGGCAGCCAAGCACATCGAGGACGGGGGAGGCGCAATCGCAATGCCAAAGACTGTTATGAGAACAATGTAATGAAACAGAGACGAATAAAAATCGAACGAGCAAGATATAACAAGAAATAAAATGGACTGTAGAAAGAGAAAGAAAATCACCCAATTAATGATGGACATCGTAGCTTAGTACTCACAGAAGGTCACCTTATACAAGTCCTCGTCCCCTGAGCAATTGAAAATAATAATGATAATGATTTTATTTACTGTCAGTTTACAGGCATTGTCAGGGAAGGCGTTAAACATAAATCATGCCAGCACTGAAAAAACTCCTATGAAAAAGGGAGAAAAATATAGTTGATGGTTTTTGCGGTTTGGAGGGTTCACGAGGAAAAAATACAGCAGACGACAAACTTTTGACCGTCAAGAACGGAGGGGCTGCACGGTATCGGAAAATATCAGTCGCCAATTTCTTTCATGAAGTTGGGGCCAGTCCAAACAGAAGCACCGAAGAACATCTATCGGTGCTGGCCAAAGAAATTTTCCCTGGTGAAACCCGCCAAAGTGGACAAAGACCACAAACGCCATCGTGGGGTAGAGCCGATCAGAGGTTTCAGCACACAAAATTTATGGGAAATTTCACAAAATCTCGACCGTCAAGAAGGGAGGGGTAGCATGTTATCGTAGATGATCAGACGCCAATTCCTTTCATGAGGTTGGGGATAGTCAAAGTAGAAGCGCTAAGGAACAGCTGTCGCTGTTGGACAACGAAATTGTCCATGGTGAGACCGGCCACAGTGTTCAGAGATCTCAAACGCCATGGCTGTGCTACAGTCGATCAGTGGATTCAGCACCCAAAATTTGTGGGAGCTTTTCTGAATGCAAAAATCGAGTAATAGTTCTCTTAAATGAAGGATAATTTTGCAGATTTTTCACACTCATGTGTGGTTT